AATTCAAATAAAGCCTTCTTCTCCAAATGTTTGTCATCCCACAGATGACATCCTTACCTCGTCAGCTTGCTGACGGTCATGTGGACATGGCGTCCGACCTCGGATCAGAAGGTCCGTGGTTCGAATCCCATAGGGGTCAAGAAGTGTTAAGGCCGCTACACTTGTGGTAGTATAGAAGCGGAATAGAACATCGAGTAGGGTGTTCACTGTGTGTGGTGTGGCTGTGTGGCATCGTAAGCATAGTAACATGACAGAATCGGGTGGTCACTCAGCTCTTATAGAAGTATATATGCTGCTGGCCAAAGAACTATATTTTATGTTTGCTTCAGTTGCAAACTACGATCGCAAAATGTGATGACATTTATAGCAAAGGTGATGTGTGTGGTAAAGATGGTGATGTGAAAGGGCACTTCTTCAATAAAATAATATACAGACGGTACAATTTACAAACTTACAACGTGCCCCAGCATCACAACCCCGCTGGATCGACGGCAACAGAGATAACCCCTGGAATCATTATTGTCAGATAAACAAAAGCAACACAAAACCCTTCATTACTGGAATCGGAAAATGTGCTGTACGTCTATACACTTTGACATACTTTGGAATTTGAAACAAAATTAATTTGTGCAATCAAATACAATTAGTTTCTAAACACGTTTTCCGTTTTTAATGAATAAAACTAAACGACGCTGAAGTTATGTTAATTTTCATCATTTTCATTGTCAACGAAAAAAAGATGTGACTTGAGGTGAAATGGGGTTAAACGTCGCGTTCGAGATTATTGCACTTATATGCATGCACGTGTGTGTGGCTGCTTGTACTAGTCCGGACTGATGCCGATTTATAGTGCTAGCTCACTGAGATACCATGCTGCAGTTTAACATGAATATCCCACTCAGACACAGTATAATGCCGAGCGTCTTTTGGTATGACGCGGCCGGGGATCGAACCCACGATCTTCCGCTCTCCGGGCGGACGCTCTTACCCTAGACCACAGAGGCGATCACGATAAAAAAAAGAAGAAAAAAAGAAGAAAATATTAAGATAAGATCGTAGTGCGCATAAAGAAATTCTCGTACAATTCGTTTTTTTCATCTATTACAAAGTGTAGAAAAGGTTACCAATTTGCCAAAGAAACGTCGATTCAATGTAAGAAAAAATCAAGATACATTTGAAAAAGTGAGTGAGTGAGTTTGATTTTACGCCGTTTCAGCAATATCACGGCGGAGGACACCACAAAGGGGCTTCACACAATGTACACATGTCGGGAATCGAACCTGGATCTTCGGCGTGACGGGCGAACGCTTTAACCCCTAGCCTACCCGACCTCCCCCATTTGAAAAAGAATACAGAGACCCCTTCATAAAAATATTAATAACACAAAATTAAAGTATAATTATGGATATTGACTTGATGCCTATCCAGATGGACTACACAACAGAAGTGACTTTCAGGCAGATGAGCTAAAGACGTATTGAATAATAAAAAAAACGGACGGAAGGACAAAAACATGGACTAAGGACAACACTCCACAACCCAAGTGACTTTCAGTCCGATGAGGTCAAGACATGAGGTCAAGACATGAGGTCAAGGTCGAATTGACAAGACATATAATCACCATTCACATAATCCTTGCAATAAAAACATCATTGGGAATAACAACTTAATTAGAAAATCATTCAGAAAGTGTATACTAACATATCACGCAAATATATATCTTTTAATGATCATATGTTCTTGTAAAGATAACGTTCAATGTATCATGCATATGACTTCGTGTAATTTGTGGGATATCAGGCAAATAATCTGTTATCAAGATCAAAGTTTGTAGTTTAATATTAATGAAGGTTTTGCCTTCTTTCATTTCATCATTCTTTTTCTGTTTCAATCGACCAGCTTCGGATATTACTCATTCTTATCTCACTGTATGCATGACCATATGTTTAACGTGCTCCCAATAGTGCTGTATTGCGGCCATTGCAGGTACAGAAATAGGTTACCTCCCTTGTTCATTCCTCTTCATTACTTCTGCTGTCTCAATGAGCCGGGGCGGACGGGTAGCCGAGTGTTTCAAGCGTTTTAATCTTCAAAATTGTCCAACACATCATTGTCCTACAGATTATCCTACACAAGTGCTCTTGGCCTTGTAGTATCAGAGGAAAATCCAAACACAGTAAAATCCCCAGAAGCTCACCTTATTCTGGGGGCGGTCGGGTAGCCTTGTGGTTAAAGCGTTCGCTCGTCACGCCGATAACCCGTGTTCGATTACCGACATGGGTACAATGTGTGAAGCCCATTTCTGGTCTCCCCCGCCGTGATATTGCTGGAATATTGCTTCACTCACTCACACACTCCTCAGTGAGCGATCTGGTCATCTGACGGTCATCATTAGGATTTTCTTCCATTTCTCACTGTTCTGAAAGCAAACAACAGTCTCTACCATTGATACCTATTTCCGAGGACGTTGATCAAGCAACGCCAAATTCCCCGAAATTATGAAATTTGCATTTCAAGAGAGCTTTTCAATAACAAAGTTAAATGCACTTCCGGTCAAATGAAATTGACCTTGAATCTCAGCCAAGCGCTACCAGAAATATTTTACAAGCACAAGTGGAGCTACAAATATTTAGTCCGTGTTGCATTTTAAAAGTGAAATTTGACCTTAACATAGGTTTCTTGGGACAAGCTCGTTTTATTCTATGGAAACCGGCAACTTTAAATATAAATACGGTTCTGTGAAAACACATATCTTGGTAGAGTGTCCACTAAATATACAATGATCCTTAATAAAGTCCTACTGTTATAAACTTAACCAAATGAACTAACGTATTCTAAACAAAACTTAACACGCCTTCACATTAACAGTTTACACTACAACTACAAGTTGAACAAGTTGAATCACAAGCCGCTAGGATCGTCATACATACGTGCCTCAATGTACCCTCCAGCGTCCAGGAAGTGAACATCTATCTCAAGTATGGACAAAATATTTCACCACTGATCAAGGTAATACAAAAGGACTTCCTCCACAGTATTACATATCAACTATTCTGCATATATTAAAGAAGAAATGAAAACAACCCACTTACAATGGCAATTTACATTTGACCTTGACCTTGACCTTGACCTAGTTCTTAATCGCAAACAGTTACCAAGTGTCAGGATTGTTCAGATAAAGTGCAACAGACACCGGAAATGAACGATACAACACCGTTTCCACTAACCTCGATGATGACCTTTGCCTTTGACAGATATGCCAACCAATGCTTACCTCGACTTTTGATATACGTTTCCAGAGCAGGATAACTTCGAAAGATACATACTAAGTTTTAAGATAAATGCATTAACTTTTTGAGAATGTGTAAGATTGTTTAAGTGAGATTGTCTATCACATGACCTTGACCTCTGACCTTCTGATTGCATGTGTCAAAAGAAATCCCAAGGTCCATGACAATAAGTCAGTTGTAGAATATCATCTAATGCTAAAAATATTTGCGCCATATTCAAGAGAAAGAATACCATAAAGTTCTACATTTCACAATTACCCCAAAGGTGACCTCGACCTTTGACATGTGATGTTGTAGAATTTGTTAAGAAACGTGTAAACATAATGCTCCATGCATGGAGAGGTAAACCTGCCTCAGAACCTGACATGGCTATACGTATGTTATAACCATGTTTATGAAAACTTGAACGCTGATCTTGACCTTTGACCATCTTAAAGAAGAAGGACATCGTAAAACAAACTCATTGAAAATGTCCAACTATCTTTCTGTAAACGGTATCTTCGTCTCTCTAACAACACACGCAATAATATGAGTGAGTAAGTTAAAATTTATAGTCACATCGGCAGTATTTCAGCCATATCGTGACTACCAAAAGTTATACATAATATATATCTAATAATATGATGCCTGAAGTCTGTCTATACGACAATTTGTTTGTTTGTTTGTTGTTCAAGGTCGCACTCAGCAATATTCCAGCGATATGACGACGGTCTGTAAATAATCGAGTCTGGACCAAAAAATCCAGTGATTGACACCATGAGTATCGATCCACGCAATTGGGATACGATGACATGCATCAACCAAGTCAGCGAGCCTGACCACCCGATCCCGTTAGTCGCCTCTTACGACAAGCATAGTCGCCTGTTACGGCAAGCTCGGGTTGCTGAAGACCTGTTCTACCCCGGATCTTCACGGGTCGTCTATATGACAAGAACAGGGAAATACTGGAGACTTCTTTATCTTAATTCTCCCAGATTACCTCGCGATCGTCAAACCTTCTAAATGTTAAAATCACCTGATGATGTGGACCGAGCGATATGGGCTACATCAGATAAAATCCGTTGTTCCGTTTGGGTTTCTGATTGGTCTCGATACAACAAGAAATCGGCGATATCACAATATTCCTGAATGATTCAGCATTGATTATCAGTGGAATATTTTGGAAATGTAATTACTATTTTCAGTTCAAATCGAAACGCAGAACATTATTTAATAGGTAACATTTTAAATTACATTAAGATATATATATATATATATCTCAAGGTCTAGATCTAATAATTCCTTTAAATGTGGAGCTTGAAAGACACAATTATATTCCTCGTCATGAACAATTCTGCGATTTCTGTTTCGCCAAACAATCGTAAATAGTCAGTGAGTGAGTATGGGTTTACGCCGCTTTTAGCAATATTCCAGCAATATCACGGCGGGGGACACAAGAAATGGGCTTCACACATTGTACCCATGTCGGAAATCGAACCCGGGTTTTCGGCGTGACGAGCGAACGTTTTAACCACTAGGCTACCGCCCCACAAATGTAAATATATTGACGAGGAATACCATTATTTCTTTGGCTAAATATAAAAATTCATCGATAGATGACGTCAGGCTTGAAATGAAGTGTGACATCAACTATTATTTAAAGTCCATGAATGTTTCGCGATGTGATCCATCGTCTTTACTTCAAAATAATATGTTTCAATACATGCATTTGCATCGTCACTACCTCAAACTATTCTTTTTCTGTTTTCTGTTTGCCTTTACGAAATATGACAAAAAAATAGGCTACAAATGTTCAGAGATATATTTCACAAGTATTCTTGATGGACTATAAATATATATTATAAAACAAAATGTCATATTTACAAAACAAATCATACATAACTAGTGTCACGCATGATTTGCAATGGGGAAACGCATGAGCACTGCGTTGCATACGTTACGAAGCCATCTTGACAACGTGAACAGACGTTTTGTTCTAGGGTAGTTTCTCAGACTCGACCTTCACGTGCTGCTCCTGCCACGTGATGCTTTTGCACGTGCCAGAAACTCGGATGACCATACTCCGTCCGCCATCTTCGAATGTAACCATCTTGCACTTCTCCGGCAGACGACCCCGGAATGGCGCCTCGAGGTTTAAAATGCTCCCAACAGAGAGAATGTTATCATCCTTATCTTTGATAACGTATGGCAGACGCCGTTCGTTGGTCTCCTTGTTCTCGTTGTAACTCATTTTGTTGACGACGGTAAAGTCCGAAAGAGTTTTCTTTTCCACAATCTTCATCTCGGCCTTGGTTTTCTGCCCGATGTTGACACTGATGTCGGAATTGATACTCCACTGGAGTCGAGTTTCGAACGTTTTGCTGTTGCTTTTCTCCATTGTGACCTCTTCGTGGACGCCAGCGCCGATTTTCAAATAATCCGGGATCCCAATTTCAATGCTTGCTTCTTTTCCCATAGTGTAGCTCTCCATGAACTCAAAGGTAGCAGACGACACAGTTTCCCGCTCGGCGCCGAAGCTGAACTTCTGTTCTTCGCCTGTGTTGTTCTCGTAATGAGCGAAGTGCATGCAGACTGGCTCCTCGGGCTCCTTGTCGATGTCCTGAGCTCGGTCGTGCCACTCCGTGGAGCTGGTCTTCTGAAGGTATTCCCATCTGAAACACAGAGGCCCTTTTCTGTCAAGAATAAGCCGAACAAGATACAATACAATACAGTGCACCTATACGACCCTGTGTCTATACCATGTCAATTGTGTTCACATATCACACAAAAAAATAGTTAGATTTTAAATATGGAGACAACAAGCGTGATCCAACACATCTTGTTAATTGGATTTGTATTCCCCACATGAGTACAGTATGTGAATCGTATTGTTGACCTCCACCTCGATATGCCTATAACACAATTCTCGCATTGTTCTGTGCCATCATATAAACACAGATAAAATGAAGTTGGACAAAGCTGTGATGACTCGCAAGGGTCCATTTACACATGCCAAGGATGTCACAATACTCACGTCGATAAAACGTTTCTAAAAAGTGTAGAATGAAATGGCAAATGATCATATTATTCATACGATCAGCCAATTTCGGTAATAATGGTGTGGCATCCATTCTCCACCAGACGCTGGTGAGTTCGTGTCCTGTACCTGATTTCCACCTTGCACTTGTTCCTCCGTGTCATCATGGCCTTGAGTTTCCCCACATCCTCCGGGTACAGCTTGTGCCAGATATAGTCCGAGAACACCTGAGTCAGGTCCAGACGGGTCAGGTCCAGGGTCCGCTTCTTTGTACAACAGGCACCCATCTTACAGTGGACAACGGTCACGGGGGACACTGGAACACAAGGGTGGAAACAATTAAAACATGGACCTGTAAATTCACCCTGAAGAGTTAGTGGATGAAGTTGAATGTCCTTGTAGACATATGTCAGCGAACAGATCTGTAAGTCGAAACCTAGAGCAGGTAAACCATCAGTGAATAATGCGAGCCTCTATTCGAACCACGGGAGTCGACTGACAACTAAACCAGCTTAAAGAACATAAATACTTAGAAATTGATCGTTAACTCGTGCCAGCTATTATTTCCATCCTGTGTTCATGTCTAAGAGAAAAAAAATGATACGATGAAACTACTTACCCTAGAAACCTGAATTAACCAAAAGTGGATTAAGAGTTCCAGTAATCTGGCAGAATGTTGAATAAACCTCAACGGTCAGTAAGATTAGAGTATACTGAACCCCATCGAACGTTTAGTGTTTAAATACAGTCTCTGGTCCTCTATCTCACTGAAAACACAGCTACGTATCACGATTTACACCAGCTTGAAGTCCTATGAACTGTTTGGAGTATATCGGATATAAATAAACTGCACGTGGTCAAACACGATTTCTCATTGGTCAAGAGCTTTAATCTGTGAGGCGGAGCCTACAGGCTACTGAGGCCCGAGCAGTTGATCGGGGCTGCGAGCTTTGATCTTCAGAAGCAACTGATGCTATTTCTGTTTGTCACTTTTAAGCAGTTGGGATGAAGATGTTGAGAGTATAATCCACTAAACAAACACTGCGCCGAATGGAAACAATCACTGGACTTCTCAGAAGCTGATTGCAACAGCTGCCTTTAAAACATAAATCCTGAAAATGAGATTATAAACTTTTGCAACAGCTGCCTTTAAAACATAAATCCTGAAAATGAGATTATAAACTTTGTATTGATCGAATAAACAAACTGAGGGTCGGGGAATGTATACCAAGTTTTTTATGTAATTAAAAAAATGAAGGTTCATTCCTGCAACATTCTGTCTAAAGTAATCAGTGGCTGGGTAATTTTGTTTAAAGATAAATCGGTTCAATGAAGACTGGGGTAAGAAATGAATTTGCTACCACATGACCCCTAACATGTTTGAAATGTAAATTTGTGCCGAAAAAAAACCCAAATAAATTTACTGGGTTTCAAAGGTATATGTCTAAGATACTATCAGCAGTTGTGTATTTTGCGAAATTTGTTTTCTTAATTTTGTAATCGAATTAGATTTTGAAGTACGTGTATGGAAATGTATAGATATATATTTTCAAAAAGCAGAGCTGTACCGAAGTAGCTATGAAACATTTTGTCTGTCCTTACTTATAATGAGAATTGTTTGTATATTTTGGTTTTCAAAGATCTGATCAAATGGATCATGATTATTTAGTATAATAATAAGAAAGACTAAATGTCGTGAATTAACCCGAATTCACCTCCCTCAAGTGAACTTTGATTTCCAATAATCGATCGCTTGTTTATTCCTGTTAATGTCACGCGTACAAGAAAAAGTCTAAACCGCATCTAACAATGACTAAACTGAACGCTTTGCACGTTACCTAACATTTGTAATGAGGCGAACAAGGCGAAGGTACATTGCCGGTATGGACGTCGAACAAAAATGATCCCGAAAACATTGCTATATAAGTATACGGTGAAAATGAGCAGCTTAAAAAATAAAAAGACAACGTGGGCATATTTTGATATATTTTGTAAACAAGAAAAGATGCATCACATATAAATAATTTTCCTAATTAAGCATGTTACAAACACTTACCTACAAACGCTTATTTTTTTAAAGAAAATACCCGCAATTCGGAACACTTGTTCAGAGCATAAGAAGAGAGTATATGTTTCTAACCCAATATCACGTTTACTTATATATGGTCAACTTTTGACACGCACGCATTGACAGGTAAATATTAATGATATATGTACTCAAAATTGAATAGACTTCATAACCCGAATGCAAACAATCATTGTCGGGGGATTTGTGGGGATTAGCGCGGATTATGATAATCAAGCCCGTCTTCTCAGTAATACTAACACATTGTGTCACCTGCTTTCTATTGTGTTAAGCAATACTTCCTACAGCTCGTGGCACTTCCTCGTGAGTTGTTAGGTAACTGGTGGTCTGTTTCAACATGTCAATCATATGTACATTTCGGTTGTCGACATGATGGCGGTTAACAGCCAACTTCTCATACACGTTGTATCTTTAACTAACACATGAAAGTTCTCAAAGCGCTTTGTCGGAATCCTATGTTATACTTATATTCGCGGACTAATGTGGACGAATGTGTTTTTAATCATTCCGTGTATATGTGTTTAGTTACACCGTGTATATTTGTTGAACTACACCGTGTATATTTGTTGAATTACACCGTGTATATTTGTTGAATTACACTGTGTATATTTGTTGAATTACACCGTGTATATTTGTTGAATTACACCGTGTGTATTTGTTGAATTACACTGTGTATATTTGTTGAATTACACTGTGTATATTTGTTGAATTACACTGTGTATATTTGTTGAATTACACTGTGTATATTTGTTGAATTACACCGTGTATATTTGTTGAATTACACCGTGTGTATTTCTTGAATTACACCGTGTGTATTTGTTGAATTACACTGTGTATATTTGTTGAATTACACCGTGTATATTTGTTGAATTACACCGTGTATATTTGTTGAATTACACTGTGTATATTTGTTGAATTACACCGTGTATATTTGTTGAATTACACTGTGTATATTTGTTGAATTACACCGTGTATATGTGTTTAGTTACACCGTGTATATTTGTTGAATTACACCGTGTGTATTTCTTGAATTACACCGTGTGTATTTGTTGAATTACACTGTGTATATTTGTTGAATTACACCGTGTATATTTGTTGAATTACACCGTGTGTATTTCTTGAATTACACCGTGTATATTTGTTGAATTACACTGTGTATATTTGTTGAATTACACTGTGTATATTTGTGTATATTTGTTGAATTACACTGTGTATATTTGTTGAATTACACCGTGTATATTTGTTGAATTACACCGTGTGTATTTCTTGAATTACACCGTGTATATTTGTTGAATCACACCATGTAAACACTGTCTCCTACCTGTATATATACTTATCATCCATACTCTGTACATCACTTGCTTTATAACGGTGTTAGAACCTACACCGAAGCGTCGTTCCCAATCGGGATAAGCAGTTGTTCATCTTTATATCTTATCCATCCTTAGAACCCCAACTTCTAAATGCCCTTCAAAGAAGTTTCCGTGTATATCTGTTTGGAGAATATCGTGTATATTTGTTTGATCGTACCGTGTATATTTGCTTCATCGTACAGTGTACATAAATTATATGTGGAGTCGTGTATATTTTCTTCATCGTATCGTATACTATGTATAGTTAATTAATAATACAATGTATATTTGTTTGGTCATACCGTGTATATTGTTTTAAATGATACCATATATATGTTTCTAATAATACCGTGTATATTTGTTGAAATACACCGTGCACAATTGTGGTATATTTCCCTGATCAATGATCACGGAGTCAAGAGAGGATTTTGTTGTAAAAGGAAATATAGTTCTTTATCATAATGTCCATTGTCAAGAAAATAGTGGCGAACTCTCGTAATACAGTACATATTATTCTGTATAACACTGGACATTGCACACATATATGTACAAATGATGAAAAGTGCTTAATCTTTCACCGCAAAAGCATATATCCTGTACACAATTGAATGGAATATTTCCTTTGTGAATAAAACAGACAACTTACCGACCACTGACCGTTGATATTCTTTGCCCAAACGAATTTTCTTAAATGGTTATGTTTTGCATCTCCATGGCAACAAGTTGGACTCAAATGTTGACAGAGTTCCATTCCGGGGTATAACATTTTTTAAATAAAACTTTGTATGCCCATTAGGTATCCCGGTCTTGGGATCTACCCCTTTGTGGGTCGGAGTTGGCAAGCAGCCAAAGGCGCCATTAGTATCATATATCTGGACCCGTGAAGATCCGGGGTTCAGCAACCCATGCTTGCCGTAAAGGCGACTATGCTTGTCGTAAGAGGCGACTAACAGGATCGGGTGGTCAGGCTCGTTGACTTGGTTGATACATGTCATCGTATCCAAATGGCGTGGATCGATGCTCATGATGTCAAACACTGGATTGTCTGGTCCAGACTCCATTATTTGCAGACCGCCGTCATATAGCTTGAATATTGCTGAGTGCGGCGTTAAACAACAAACAAACAAACAAACAAACCTCCCTATCAATGTTTTGAAATGAGTTTGTTTTAACGCCGCTGTAGAAAACCCCACTTTATTACTGCAGTGAGGGTGATGTGCGAGGAAAGCCTAAAGTGACACAGACTGTACACATCCACAACACTGATGGGACCCGGGAGAACATGTAAGGTGCCGGCATCACACCTGTACACATCCACAACACTGATGGGACACGGGAGAACATGTAAGGTGCCGGCATCACACCTGTACACATCCACAACACTGATGGGACACGGGAGAACATGTAAGGTGCCGGCATCACACCTGTACACATCCACAACACTGATGGGACCCGGGAGAACATGTAAGGTGCCGGCATCACACCTGTACACATCCACAACACTGATGGGACCCGGGAGCGGGAGAACATGTAAGGTGCCGGCATCACACCTGTACACATCCACAACACTGATGGGACCCGGGAGAACATGTAAGGTGCCGGCATCACACCTGTACACATCTACAACACTGATGGGACCCGGGAGAACATGTAAGGTGCCGGCATCACACCTGTACACATCTACAACACTGATGGGGCACGGGAGAACATGTAAGGTGCCGGCATCACACCTGTACACATCTACAACACTGATGGGGCACGGGAGAACATGTAAGGTGCCGGCATCACACCTGTACACATCCACAACACTGATGGGACACGGGAGAACATGTAAGGTGCCGGCATCACACCTGTACACATCCACAACACTGATGGGACCCGGGAG